TATGAACATATCGTATCATATCGACATTGCCATTGCCATTGGTGCGTGCAATAAAAATAAATGTTATCATTCGGACCGCTCTCTACCAAAATACAACAACAACTAAAAAAACAACAACCAAAAGATGAGATTGTGTGTACACGCAGTTGCCACGTGATTACATCAACAACGAATGAAGGCGCTTCCGATGAATATACACTTGCACAGAGCTTGATTCAGACTTTTCTTTCGATTTCCTTATACAAAAATTGTGCGGAAAAAGTGACAGTTTCTTTTTATCTTCTGATGTTGGAAATCAAATTGTTGTGTCTATCTTTATTTTCGTGAGTCTATTTCATGCTCCATTTTCTTTCGATGAAATTTTATAGGTGATATAATATTTTTTTTCTTTCTTCATTTATCCCAAAATGGGGCCATACGACATGGGCGCACAGCAAATGACAAAAAAAAAACAAGAATCATATAAATAGAGCACCACTAACGAATCGAAAACGAGGTCAATTATCAAAAAGCGTATTCTTAGTATGAAAAAAAGAGCTCTTGGATTTAGGCGACGAAGTTTCTAAAATCAATGTTTGCCGAGATCATGAGTGTCTTTTATTTTTACCTTAAAAAATGTCGCACAAAAAGTGGATACAGTATCAAGAATAGTCGGAAAAAAATGAATAATGTTCGAAAAGTAGCCTTGTATACGGTCATCAAGACAAATATATTTCGATTGACAAAAAAGGCAAAAATAAAAAAATGCTTTGTGCGATACCTTCTTTGTGCTACCCAATATGTATTTTAAATGAAATATATCCGAAAACGATGATTATACCTTTTCCACCCTTCTACATAGCCCATGTGCTTCTAAACCGAAATGTCAATGAACTAACGACGGAATCTTATGTTTGTCTTTCACACTCGAACATGCATGTTATTTAAAAAATGAATTAAAAACACGCATGAAGTTTGCTTGGCTATTCTGGGTTTCTACTGTTTTTTTTTGTTCCTTTGTCCGATCGCCGTTTGTGCAGACAAAATTTTGTTCTCAAACTAAGAAAACTGGTTCGAATAGAACATAGATGTATTCTATGTATATTTGGTAGATACAAAACACGTATGTGTATTAATTAAATGGCAGATCTTCTTCATTTTGCATTATTTCAATTAAATTGAAATTTCAACTGAATTCATGAATATCAGCTGAACCGCCATATTATTCGCGCACAATGACTAATTTTTTCCGTTGAGAATAGGCATGTCAAACATATTTCCATGCGATACAGTTTATTATTTACTTCTTCGAATCATGTAAAGTAAATAAAGAATAGCAATCCAACACGCAAAATATTTCCTTCTTTTCTTTACAAATTTGATTAAAGACTAAATGTATCTAATGTAACAAATTTGAAGTTAAAGCGCGTGTTTTACACACGTACTACATACAATCGGTCGTCTAGTCACCAGAGTTCAACCTCTTCAAGGACACTCATTCAGTCGATCTACTGAAAAACAATAACAACAACAACAACAACAGCAGCAGCAGCAGCAGCAACGACAAACGACAACCAGCAAAACATACAAAAACCACCGAATTTCATAGCTAATATGCGTTCGAAGTGTGAGTACGTATTTGAAATTACAGTACGAGAAAATAGTTTTATTTTTTTTTTCTCTATCGCTATCCCTTTCCTGTTCGCTCTCGTTGTTGCGACTTGAAGCAACGCGGACCTGACACGCATAGATACGCCCGTACGTGGAGAGCTCATAGAATAATGCGTAACAAATGAGTGAGTCGATTAGAATAGCACAATCCATTAGCAGAACGAATTGCATGAAACTTAGCGATCGAAAAAGACTCTTTCACTCAACAGCAGCAGCAGTAGACCCTGCTACTCCGTTCGCCATGTCGTCGAACTATTGAAATAATACACACACGTATAATATATATATTTTTTCAAGTTAGTTATTCGTTGTCTTTGCGTTTTCAAGCCAATTCTGATAGTATAAAGGCACGGAAACTGCTCTACCATATAATTCAGAAGGCTTCATAGCAGTGGGTCGGTCGGTGCCGCAACACATTCTCACAGTTTTGCGTCGTTTTCTGCCAAATCCATTAAATACGAATTTCGTCATAATTCGTTTCTTTCACATTTAGACGGTAGATTGGCTATATTGAAAACTGATAGTGATTCGATTTTAGAGAATACGAATGTCCATTTTAATTTCCAAGAAATTTTTACACGGAATTAAACCGGAATGAGGGGTGCTCTAATCACACTTACATTTAATTTTGGAACCAACCAATTTTGTATTCGTTCAAGGTGAGAGATGAGTTCATCGACATTACTACACGTGTAATCGAAACGTTTACAAAACTATATTGGATTGGACGAAGAGGGTTTTTTTCTCTCTTGACTGTTAGTATTAATTTTTGTTTCATCTCTTGTACACCAATTTACTATTTTGAAGCAAGTCTTGTTCGTTCTTTTTTTCCCAAATCCCATTAACTTGAACAAGCTAGCGAATAGTTTTGCAAATGCGATGCAAATGAGCATATGAAATGTGGAGATCGGAAAATTACAAAAAAACGTATTCATGAGAATTAGTTGGTCTTGAAATATGAATGACAATGGACGTCACATGAGAATAGAAATTATGAAAAGATTGATGTTTTTCGTCTAAAAAGATTAGAACATAAATGGGAAACAAATCAAGAAATAAAAGCCATAAATCAGCAGAATGATTTACTTTGCTGGCCATTATTGACTATGAGGCCCATAAGCTAAAAGACCTCATACATTACTCTCACTAACACTCATCTCTCTCTCTCTCTTCCTGTCTCCGCTTGTCTCTTTGGCCATGTTTTCAGTTTATGTCGTTTTATTTTATTTATTCATCAAACTAGGACCATTGCGAATTTATGGCGTTACGTTGTCACAGCGCCGTCAGCATATATGCAGAGAAAACGAAAAAAAAGATTGGATAATTCATCAAATAAGAGTCGTATTTGGCTACGCTATGGCATGGACATTTCTCATTAGGATTCATTTGGCGTAGTTCTACGGCATCGGTAATCTCTTGTGCTTTTCAAGAAATAAAAAAAACGCTTTGGGCATTAGGGACCACAGGACACGCGAGAGTCGATTCAGAAAATCCATTCAAATTTATAAATAAATAATATTTTCAATACCAAAATGGTTTCTGACCAATATTCATGAGACGATGACACCGAATACTATCTATACATATGTTGTGTAGACTAATGCACGTTTTCCAGCTGCCTTTTTTATTCTTGAGCAAATATCTACTCCCGAACATTACTTGCTGTTGAACAACATATATAGAGAAAGTTTTACATTCAGGTTGTGTATAGAAAATATAATATTGTTATTAAATTATTCAAACCGAATCGATTTCATTTTATTGAAGCACTCAGCGGAAGTTGATAAGAATATAAAATCAAAAGCAGCACTAATCCATCATCAGATATTTTACGAAAATTTATATTCGAATAGATGGCGAGGGACTTATGTTGTACGAGTCAGAGCCAATTTCCACGAGTCAATAAACAATGTACAGGCATGTCGCGGTAAGAGAGATCTTCATAGAACACATTTACGATAGACTTGTTCTGACTCAAGATGTTGACAATTTCATAATAAAAATTTACTTATTCTATATTCCTTCAGTGATGTAAATGCACAAATAAAGCAAAATAAATCTCATGCGTTTTAAGTGAGAAACATGTAAACAATGCACACGTCATTACCACCACCACCATCACCACCGTCACCATCATCATAGCGTCAATACTAACTAAAAGTCAAATGACAATAACAATCATCGATTACAAGCGAAATGAAAACACAAAGCGCACAACCACATCTATGCATATACATGCCAGCGAATATAAACTCCTCGTGATAAAACTAGTTAAAACCGAAGGCGGAAAAGAGTGCAAATCATACAGGCCACGTGCCTCCGGAAAAGACGGAGCGAGAAAAGGAGAGAAAGAGCGTGTGTGTGCACGAGATGTGAATGATAAAAACGAACGACGCAGAAGAAAACGCAATAATAAACCAAGCACATTATACTTGAAAAAAAATTATCATCTGTTGACGACGAAACAAGAAAACTTCCCGAAATTTATTTTTAAGCGAGTTTTTTTATATATATATTCATGGTCCATTCCCTGCTTGTCTCACTAAAATAAAATTGATGTCGAACCTAAATAGAAAAATTATTTCCCGAACTCAAATATTGCGCGTTAACTGAAAAAAAAATTCCATACACAATCTCATACGATTCGCCAGTCACACACAAATGAATGGAACGAAACGGAAAAAAAGTTATATGATTACAAAAATGACAATGAAAAATTGAAAATGTCAACATTTGATCAGCAAAATGCGACATAGAGAGTACTATTTACGGGTCTGAGCGATTAAATGAGAAATCAACAAATAGAAACGAATGAATACGAAAAAATGAAAACATCAAAACAAACAAAATATTGTGTCGACATTACAAACGCACATACACACGCACATGCACACGCAAACGCACACACACACTCAAACACGCGCTCGTTCGCTCGCTCACTCGTTCACATATTCACGAGCCGCTCACATACGTTATACAGCACACAATCACATCACACGCCTCACGCACTATACGCATTCACATACACACATGTACAAACTTTAATCGTAAGCATGTTAATTTGTTGTATATTTTTTTATCTATTCACCAGAATTACATCACAAATATCTTCGTTTTCGTCACTAGAAGGTAATTAGTTTAGTTTGAACTGGATTGATAAGTACTTTAAACTAGTTAAACAACAACGACACAAACCATAATACAACACAAACACCAGACACATGCACATACGTCACGCGATAATTTTTTTCTTTCATTTTTTTTTTCATCTTGTTTGAAATATTTTCAACACATTTCCTCATAATTCCCCTTTAGAATGAATAATAATGAATGAAAAATAAAATTCTTACGTTTTATTTTGTTTGTCAGCCTTATTTTCTAGGTAGACTCTTTGATGCGCACCGTTTTATTATTGTTTTGGTTGATGCGAACTTGACGTTTCCATCGAATGCTGGTTTCGATTACGATTGATTTTATTACACTTTATTTTCGTTTATTTTGGATAATCTTTTCGTTTTTATCGATTTTTAAATTTTAGTCATTTACTTTTTTTCCCGTTATAATATATGCGCAACGTTTTTTGTTTTCGTTCAGTTTTTTTTATTCGTTCTTCAGTTGGCGATGAGTAATGTATTTGTCACATACACACGAATGCTGAATTTTTGGCACTCCTGAATTTCCCGAAGAAGAAAAAAATTAGCGAATTTCTAGTATTTTTCTCGTGTTTTCGGGGTGTTTTTTTTTCTTTTCGTAATTGTAAAGATGACACAGAAAAATTCATAAAAACTATAACCACACACCGTGCCAGCGGAAATAAGATGCAGCAATATTTGTTGTAAAATAAAATAAGCACACAGAACAAGTAGTAGACAGGACACAGACTGATACGCACAACATTTGTTGGTTATTAATTTTAATTTATTTTGTTTTTGCTTTTTTTCGAAATTTTCTTCGATTCACTCTAGCAGTTTTACTGTTGTTGTTTTGTTTTTCTTCGCAATTTATTTTCAATCATTTTTCTAAATACGCAAAATGTTGTTGTTGTTGTTTTTGCTTCGCACTGAAATGCCACAGTGAATTCCTCAATGAATTTTTTTCTGACGACACAAAAATTGAACAAGATGTACTTTTGGTCTTGAAATTTCTTTTCGTTTCTTTATTTTTTGATCGCGTTATTCACATTAAATACATTTAAAAAAATGTCACAACAAATGTTCTGATTGCAAACGAGAAACAAAAAATAGTAATAAATTTTGATCTTAGATTTTGTCAACACGTCGACTGCGGCCACGAAAACTCGTCTACTCGCATTGTGGAATAGATTTAGACTGAATTTTTACATTGACCATACAGTTATTGACGATAATGATGCGATGAAGCTACCGCAACTGCTTGTATATGTGAAGCGGAGAGACGCATCGCATGCGAATCAACGACTCTGGCTGAAGCACAGACCGAAGAGACGACGAGAGAAACAAAAAAAAACAACACATAACACAAAAAACCCGCCGCCATGTTATTGTATTTTGTTGAAGTGTTTTTTCTGCTCCGTAGTACGTTTGTATCGTGCAAGTATTCAACCGATGTTCATGTTCATGCGTCTATCCACATTTTATTCCACTAGTGTATATATGGTTGCTTGAATGAGCAAGCGGGACATTGTCGTGACGTGAGCACCTATCGATAGCATTTTTAGCGAATTTAAAATGTTTTTTTTTATTTCACTCGAAAACAATTATTTTCTACCAAGTATATGCAATAATATTTATGTTTTACTTTTATGTTCAATAACTTATTTAGATGAAAAGTAATTCATTGGATTTTTTTATGTTTGTTATTGTAGGTTTATTATGCTCAAAACCTCCATTTGGCCAACCCTGCACATTTCAAAAATGTGCAAATGTCACGGAATTATATTATCCAAGAGTTGGAAGTCGGTTCAAAGCGGCTAATTTAAATGCATTTCCCACAGCTAAATTACAATTTATTCTTCGGTAATTTGATTCAAATGTTGGTTCGAGTCGGGGAAAAGAAGAAAATTTTACATGACCAAGATTGGAAGTTTAGGTAAACTTTTGATGTATACATAGAGAAGATACATCTTCTTTGTGTTTATACATGTTGACCACTTTTAGTCAAAACCAATCTCTAAAAACTAATTTTCAAAACTGAATACTGAAAATGAAAACGTTCCGCTTAAACATGCAAACCATTATAAACAGTATGTGTGACTTACTTGACTAGACTTCGACGTCGCGGCTACATATCTCTTCTTCCGCTTAAAAGATTCCACTGCATAAAGCTATTAAAGGCAATGTCATTAGTCTTTTTTTTGTCAGCTGCATTGTGAAACTGTGATGTAACTTGTTGAGAAATTATCGTAAATCGTGCCGATTGAATGGGTTTATCGAACGCATAATTTCACTTAACGACGTCGCCACCATGGAAAATGATGCAGATGTCAACGGAAAATACTAATCGTCCGTCCATTGAGTATATGTGACAGTGCAACTGCACTCATTCATAGACAAGATTTATTTACTAAAGAAAACACATTAACGAAGGCTATAAAATGGTTCGATTGCTGAAATATGCACGATTGTAGCCAAAGCAATAAATAGCAGTACAATTGAAAAAAAAATGCACAATTCATGAAAAATTATTGCGTTTTTATTCCATCCCAAAGATATATCCATAGCATAGTTCTTTTCTGCTGTATTGATCATCAGACAAATTTAATCCCGCAAAATGGCATCAAACTGTCGTACGCAAACGAAGGAAGTGACAAATCAATTTAATGATGGTTTAAATAATTCAACTCAGATGGGCTTTCCTTATGAGAATAGTAATGGTAGGAAACCAGCACAAAATCCATTACATGTGATAGAATAGAGATTTTCAGAAGCGAAAAGTTATTGCCAATTTTTGTGAAAAATTCAACGAAATAAAAATGGGATAAGTAAAGTTTTCCAGAAAGGCAAGGCTTTACTTCACTTACCTCAATGCACCTTGCATCGGATTCTAAAATTTATTTGGAAAATATGCATATGATTACCTTGGAGCCAACCAGTTCATTTCGTTCCCTTGTTTCTATTTTCATTCAAATGAAGACACACGCAAAATGTACGTTTTTATTGATTTTTTGGTGACGCACAAATGATTTTTTTTATTTGTTTATTTTCAATTTGTTCTTAATCCATTGTCTCTTATCCCACTGCACTTGGCCTCAGTTATGCATTGTTGCTTAATTGTTTTCACTTAAATTTTGTCATCATTTCAATATAAATTGTTACATTCTCATTTCACATGTTAAATATATTTTGTTCAATTTAAATCTTTTTACAGCATTTATTTTTCATATCATTTTATCTTTATTTTCTGCGTAGTTCATCTATGGATTATTATGGGAAATGAGCCGAGTATTTGGTTTGTTGTGTGGTGTGATGTGTGTGTGAGTGTGTTTTGTTTTGTTCACAAAATTTGAGCTAGCTTTGATTGTTGACAATGTTTACAATACAAATTACATTTTTGTTCAAACTGGGGATAGATAATTGGGCAGGATTTTTGCTATTGAGAATGTAAAGTTATTTGTATGTCAATTATATTAAAGCGAAGATTCTATTCTTTTCTGTTTTTTTATTCGTTTGTCCTTGTGAATTTCAGGCGATTCTCAATTTATAGATACACTTGAATGGGAGGAGGAGTCATTTAAGTTTATGTGTCTGCGGTATATTCCCAATTTTAAAGAAAAATATAGATCCCTTATGATTAAGTTATGTTCTTATGCTTAAGATTTTTTTATAAATAATAGCAATTTGTTTTTCGATATCATTCGATTTGAATAGTTTGTCGCGTGGTTTTTTTTTTGGTTTGTTTTTATTCTTGAGTCATTGGAAAATTGTTAACAAAGTCTCTCATCCGTTCGAATCGAACCGAATTCAATCAAAAACAAATTGCCATCGTGTCAAAGCGAGAGTATTACATAAAAAAACTTTCAGCGTGTCTTATTATCTGTAGCTACTTGTGTGAGAATGTGGTTTTTTCTTTCGTTTCTACAATATTGATGAAGTAACAACTAAAACGAAACACATTTCACTAGGTAATAAATACGTTGTTTCGGAACTGTATACATTTAAAGCCTATTTCATTGCATCATGGCTGGAGAAATGAAAATCAATTGGAAAACCCAAAGGGAATAAAGAAAAGCAATTTTCGTATTTCATTTGTGTGTTTTTGTGTGTATGTTAAAGATTTGTTGGAATATGGATGAATGAATCCAAACAACATCTTCAATAGATAAGAAATGACTTAATGAATATCTAGATAGATAGCGAAGGTTATAAGTCGTTCGTAAACAGAAAATTCAGCGACTGAATCAAGCTCATACGGTTTAATATCTAGAAAAATGCGCGATTTTCTGTTGCACTCTGTCAAACGTTGTGAATATTATATGCAAAATGTGACAATAATTTTTGCAAAACAACAATTCATCATTTCAAATTTTGCGCACATCCTTTAAATGGTTCGTTCAAAATATGTGGATTTTTCGTGTGCATCAGATGTGTGTGTGTGTATTTTTTTTCTTCTTCTTCTTCTTCTTCTTCTTCTTCTTCTTTACTTTGTATGGCACTTCAGAGGAAGTGAATGACATCTAAACAAACATTATGTGAGAATGTCCAACTGAATATCAGCATTAATATGTGAATCCAATTATTGAGTAGGCAGAGAATGTGATATGTTACGAAATAATTAGTGCAAATTAAAAATCAAAGAGGAAAAGAATACATTTTCGTATGAATCCTCGCAAGTTGAAGAGTGTCTGTCATTGGTAAAAATATTGTATTTTAAAAACCCATTCATACACAAAAGCAAGTAGTTAAACTTTATCGCAAGTCGGGATAAACCATACATTTATAGGTGCTGACATCCACTTTTGGGATAAATTTCATCGCACTTGTATATGTCAACCCCATTCAAACGTATATTTTATCCCGACTTGTGATGACGTTCAACTACTTTTGACAATATACTTTTGTGTGTGTTTGTTCTTTTGTTTGCCAATTTTTCCGTGGCTTCAGAATGACTTGATGAACTGATAAGCAGAATTTCTTCATATTTTATTTTTGAATAAATCTCCAAGTCTGCATGCACCAATCACATCTGTCTAAATGTCGAATACTACCTCTAATGTCACAACATCTGTACAAGTACACAAAAATTACGTTCTCTTTTTGTGTTCTACAAATCAATTTTGAGTTTTTTTTTTCATTTTTGAATCGAGTGCTTTTCCAGAAGTCATTTGGTTTTCATTTTATCATTTCTTACTTTGTCATTTTAAGTACAAAAAACGATTATGTTGTGCTCTTAAAAATTGCGTATTCAATATTATATCTTTAAATTTGTTTTGAGAAAAAAGAGCGTTTTTTGGGACGTATTTACTGCTTCACATTCATATGAGTTTACCTTTCTCATCCTAATTCATGATTCTTAGATAATGCAAATGCCCTGAAATGAAATACACCAATCATGATGCACATTTCAGTTTCAAAACAAGTTTTTTTTAGCAAAGAATTAAAACAAATGTATTTTGTATAAAAAAATGAGCATGTGTTTCATTTGGAACGGAAATACTGTGTGATTGACAGTGTTTAATTAATGGCAAAGAATTGGAGTGAAATCAAACGGTAAAACCATATTCCATATCAAAATGAAACAATGGAAACAATGGTCGAGCAGTTCTGAGGTTTGATTTGGAGTGGGCGGAAGGCGTCTCAAGTTTCTTGTTACTCCTTAAATTGTCTTTGTTTTTTTGTTTGTTTATTTCGAATCAAGTATCAAGCTCTTGGATTGTTGAGACGAGAACAGAAAATCTAACTGAATATTTAAACAAAAATTCAACTGCAAATCATGACTATTTCGTATGTTTCCTTCTTCATTTTCTAGCAAAGACTTAACACTCCTCCAAAATCTACATTGAACCATCATCTTGTGGTCTTATTCTCTTTCACTTCTAAATAGCTTCTAAATTTATATAATCTGGCTTGTTTTTTTCTCTTTCAAATTTCCGTGTAAGTAAAATTAAATACTAAATTATACTCAGATAAATGCTCATAAATATAAACGTCTTAAGTACGTACAATGTGGGTGTTGTGTCTTATGTGAGTGTCATTGAATTGCCAAGCAATTTTGGACTGGAACTCCAACAATCCATCATGTTTAGAGAAGAAATCATTTAGTGTTTTTGACTTGAGTGATGAAATTACAATGTTTCATTGAAGTTTTTTTTGCTCAGAAAAATAATTCTCCAAGAAATTTTCTTTTGATTTCCATTCATCTAAATGAATTCTTCTCAAAAATGCTTAGATCAAAATTAAGCGTCTTGTAGAACGCGTCATTAACATAACAATAAATTAAAATGAGATTTTTTTAAAGTCTGTACTATGCATACAGCTTAGACCAGGATCTAACATGAATATCTAAGATACAGAGAAACAAAAATCACAAATCAAATAAAAATTAACCTAAATCTGGCTGTGAACTGAGTGGTGGACATCTAAATTGTTAAGCGTGATAACAAATAAACATTTATTGCTTGGGTTTGTGTTCATTCAATATTCCAATATAGTATGTGAGTCGTGGTGTGTATTTTGTTTAATCAAATTTGAAAAAAAAACCAAACTGAACAATAAGTGTGGTTGTCATATACATTAGAAACGCACAACTTTCAATTGCATCTTGACATTGAATTTCAAAATGTGTGAACATTTACCAACTTTGACTTGAATTTTTCTTTCATTTATTTGTGTTATTAATTTAGTTTTAAGACACAAAATAAACAGATTAAATACTTTATCGCTTCTTATTATTTATATTCTTAGCAAACATTTAGTTATAATCAATTCTAGCGATAGAACGAATTTCATTGATTTGTCGGATTAAATTTGTATAACATTTTTCTTTTCTTTTCAGTTTTGCACAGATAGACTGATGAAAATCAATATGACACCGAAGAAAAGTGGAAATTGTCAAATACTACGAAATCATTTGAAAAATAGTAGGGTTTATACAACAATAATTTTTGTCTGTTTTTTTTTATTCCCATATAAATGAACACACTAATTTTAAGGTCTTGTTGCGGATAATATCGTGCGATATATCAATGCCAATTGATTTGCAAGACTGTTTCCGAAAGTGCATACATTACTGATGAATGTATGACAATCGAACAAAAGGAAAAACGGTGAAATCATAGAATCGAAATGCGATTTCACAAATGAAAATACAACCCCAAGCACAAATCAACGTCATACGCAAATAAATGTTTGTTCAAATAAATATGATTTTGAAGGCGACTGATGCACTCAAAAAATAACTAAACACAAGATTTCTAGCTCTCTAAATTTACACATACATAAGTAAATATTTATTTGTATATATATATTTCTATATATATATATATATAAATACTTGATGCCTTGACTATTTATATAAATTTACGCAATTAATTTTATTGTTACTGTTGCTAGTTTCTTGGTTTTCATTCTTGTTTTCTTTATTTATTTCTTCTTCATCTTCATCATTTTATTTTTGCTTCACTGAAATAACATTATTTAGTGTTTTTGTTTATAAATTAATTAATGCTCTATGAATCTTTTCAGTTTGTGAAATGTTGCTTTTGATTCAAAAAAGTTAGTTGCAAGTAAATCAAATCTATTTCAATGAATTTGTGTAAGTGTTTTATTTTCGTGATTTTGGTTTTTCAAAATAAAAGTGTCGTAAGTTGATTTTTGTTTTCCTCATTCGGGGGAAAAGGGGATTTACACGACACGAAATCAAGAAGTTTACTCTTTTACTTCAAAGTATTTGTACGTTGGATTTTCGTAGCCGTTGATTTGCATATTGGCTACATGTCTCTCTTCTGGTGTAACTGGAGCACCAATTGTCTGGAAAACAGATGGAACATGTATGTAAGTCGGAGAAAGTAAAATGAAGTTAATTGATGTGATTTTAATTGTATTTGACAAAAATTTCTTACTTGATCAACTTCAACGAAACCTTGTGCATGAGGATGTCTTGATGCACGGTATTTAGCAACGGCTACACCAACAAAAACGGCTGCCATTAAAGCGATGCCAGCAAATGCTAATGTGAAGTAAACGTTGCGTCCATCGTGGCCAACTGGTCCGTAGAATTCACGACGAACAGCATAACCCTAGTGGGTAAGAAAACAACAACAGCATATTCAATCAATGTTTCTCATTAAGAACAGTAGCCAGTATATTGAGTTTTAACTTACAACTTCGCCGTGTCCAAGGTCATGCTGAAGGATATGCTGCATTCGTGGTTCGACTTCCTGATGAGCAACAGCTGCAGCTACTTCTTCAACAGCACGTTGAACGGCTGAATCATCAACCGTTGGCAATGGTGTCGGCGATGGCTGAACCGAGATTTCATCGGTAAAATCTTTGGTTGTATCATCTTCAGTGTCACTAATGCTGCTACTTTCCAGTTTTTCTTTTTCTTGTTGTTTCACCATTTCTTCTAATTTCTTGGCTTCCAAGCGCAATTTCTCTTCGCGAAGTTTTTCGCGTTCGGTGGCACGCTGCTCTTTGCGCTGTTTTTCGGCAATGCGTTGACGTTCTTTTTCATTGATTTTTCGTTCGATTTCAATTCGATATTTGTCTAAAATTGCCGCTTCAGCCTCTTCAGTCATGCCCAACATTGATCCTGGTGTATCGTCCTTCGAGCGCAATGCTTGAATGTAATCATCCATAAGCTGTGACAATTTTGAAGATAGTCCAGGGTAACGTTTAAGCATGGCCATCGATTGATTCACAGCACGATCAATGTCAACAAGACGCTCCAATGTGCGTGGACGCTCAGATGCAGCGGCTTCTAAACCTCCGTTACCGCCGGCACTCAACAGGTGACGATAATGCGCCAAAGCATGGGCACGATCCTTGTGCAATGCACGGAGTAATTTTTGCAAGCATTTTTCAACGCGATGTGCCTAAAAGCATAAAAGAGAAAGCATTCAATTATTGTTCTAAAATCTGGTGACAAACACTTTGATACGGTATGGATATACTTACATTTGGAATTTGTTCAGTTAGAGCTTGAGTATAACAAGTCATTGCCTCACGTTTACGTTGATTGATATGGGCTAAAACACGTTGTTGATGCATTGCAGCCAATTGATGTTTTTCGGCATTGCCTTCTTCTTCAAGTGCCTGCACAGAAGTCTAAAATATACAATTTTATAGCCAATAGTCGTCGCGATACTCTCAGATTCGTTATAATCCTCAGAGCTATACATAACAATCTATCGGTCTAAATGAACGTTTTTATTTCTGCAAGAACTTACCTGGAATCGAGCTGTCATTCTTTGTTTGAAACTTTGTGCTGACTTTGGATCAGCCAAACGCATATCCTGGTATTTCTCCTCCAAATCAGACCAATCCTTCATTACACGAGTCACCTTTTCACGATGCATTTCTTCCAAACGCTGTTGAGCCTCCTGTAATTGGAATATTTGCTTTATATTTCTGTATAAAAAGTATTCGTGTCTCAAGTTTGGCATCTTTGAACAAATCACCTTGTAACTTTGATGTTCTGATCGTGGATCAAAGTGAGTGAAATAGGGGTCAATCAATGATGGGGTGCTTGATCCTGATTCCGTAGTCTTTGGGGTTGTGCTTGTAGTTGGAGTGAAGTCAATGCCATTTTTAAATTGTGGTGTTGACAATTTGTTCCATGTTTCCTCATCTTCCTGTTCACTTTCGTCTATGTCTTCATCATATTCCTCATCATTATCAGTTGCTTCATCTGCCAACATATCTTCTTCGCTTTCAATGTCATCTTCATCGGTATCTAAATAAATCAAGTGGAAAATTGCGTAAATACGATTAGTTATTCGTAGCATGTATTTCATATTATTTGAACAGAATTCATGACATCCAACCAGAAATCATTGGAATTCAATCTCAAGAATTTTTCGAATGAAAGAAAGTCATTTACCGTCATCCATGTCAGATTCGTCAGCTTCGTCATCCAAAGATGGCAAAATGTCTTCTGGCGGCAAAACAGGTAGATCAGTTTTCTTCACTTTCATTGATTCTGCTTTGAAAAGAATCGGATTGTTAGTAAACATTGACAATAGTTTGGTAGAGAAAACTTGAAAAGGCGGTAAATTGTGCTCAAGTACGCAACGGCATAATCCGAATAGTTTTTGGTTTCATTTTTTTACTCATAAAATACTTTGGTTTTATAAAGATGAAACATGCGTCTAGCCAAAAATGGTTCGTAATCCAAAATTTTTGTGGTAAGTGACGCTGCGTTCAATTTTATGTTTAAAAAAAAGCGGTAGAGTTCCATGAACAAATTTCAATACACCATCACGTTATGTGATATTTCTTTGTTAGCGAATATATGAAAACAAGAACGGGTTAACAAACACGGTTCAGTACACTAACATATATGCAAAATGATTGAAAAACCAAAAATTTTACTTTAGCTCGTTAACAATTTGTACGAATCAATCAATACACCGTACATACAATGAAACTTTCACTATTTACACCGACGAAAATCGGATGAAATTTGAACACGCCATTTTTTTGGCATGCAAAAAGTAAATTCACGTACCAGACGTATAATATATTCATTTGAGTTTTGAAACGTCAAGCAAACAAAGGATGCTATTTTGTGCTCTAGAGAGTACTAATGATATGCACACACATATGCAGAGTGAAAGTTTTGTTCGTTGAGGAATGACATTAATGTTTGCTTGCACAATATTTTTCATTTTTTTGCTGTACATATGCATACACGCTCCGTTTCATAGTCACGAAAAAAGGAAATACTCAACCTTTTTTGCTACAGAAACGGAGAACATGCTGTAAAAATATATGGTGAAGGGAATCAGTGTTCCGCAAAGCTTGTAAAAATGTGTAACGAAATATTTGAAATGTTATGAAAACGTCTGCTTATTTTCGCGATAAATGGCAGTTAACTATTGTGTTTTTTGTATTCTTTACTCGGTAGCTTGATAATTAGCATTATATTCTACATCATAGGTTTTCACATATTTTTTTCTGGAAAGTTTGATGCAGTGCTATGTTGAAATGTTGGTTATGCTCTCGAATATGACGGGAATCTACAATAACAATACTATCTTAGCTACAGTAGCAATTCAATGTCTTATCGAATATTTCTTTCTTCCTCTGATTAATCTTGTGAAGCTTTTTATCATTTCGAAATTCTGGGGAAATTTCATCAATATTTCCTTTGACATATTACATTTTTCATAGGCATGCATATCAAATGAAAGCAGTATTTCTAACGATTTCTATTTTTCATACACTTTTTCTCTCCCCTCGAATTGATTCGCTTCGGTTGACTGGATACTGTAGAAAATGTCTATTTGAACGGTACCGAATTTCGATTTTCCAATTTCTTATTCACGACAAATTCAACAGTGACGCATCAAATAAGCCCCTAAAATCATTGTCGACAATATATTTTATGGAAAAACTGAAAGTTCTGTACGTACGTACGAAATGAAAATATCTGGCTATAATCATAAAATATTTGCAAAGCTATCCACAAATACTGCATTGCCAAAAATTTAGATGAATACGGAGAAAGTTTTTTTTTCTCTGTTTGTTGTGCAAATCTGTGAATAGTTTATTTCATAAGGTTTTGTTGTTCATTTCATTTCATTTCATTTGTTCATTTTCGTTTAAGCGAGCAATACACACAATTTATGACGGTGTAAATGTTCATTATTTGTGTATTTTTTCGGACGGTCCACATAGCACATCCAGAAAAACTCACTTGCATTTCATGCTTCAGCTCGACTATTTCACGATTTCTGGGCATTAATGGTTTTTATACGTATGTTGACTTTTTAGCTGCAGCGCTACTAGAAAATTTGTTGATTTTTCGTCGTGATTTGTGTGAATTTCATGTTTGTTATGTGGATGAACGTAGAACAAGGAAAAAAATATATAAATTGTCCTGTCACTTGGTTTTATTGGTGTTTTGCATGTGTGTCTGTATCTGATTGCGGGCAACATTTTATTCATTATGTATTTCAACACGTGAAAAATGTATATCCCAACACGGGACAGCGCAAATACGTCGGAAAAAATGCAAAATATTTTAATATTATGAATATGTTTTGAAAATTCGAATAGCAAAATTAGAAGATCCAGAAGGAAAAAAAAGCACAATGAAAAATCATATGTTCTTTTGAGTGTTCACCACCAGATTTTATAAAACGAATAATTATTGAAACAAAAATCCATTCGTTTTGGACTTTGTGCGGACTAGTTGTGGGTTCAAAATCTTAAGCCAGCCCCAAAACGAATAACGATTTTCATATTTTTGGGAATTAAATTTAAATTGTATGATTCGGTAGGTATGTTCAATGTTCATGTTCAATCCAATGTAACAGTTTTCTCCGTTGTAAACGTGTTTCGTATGGTACCAGTGTTTTTACTTGTTTGTTTATGTTATTTGCAGATACAATATATATATTTTTGTTAGTCGAAATGAGTTTTCGGCACAATTATTCAACCCTTGATGGTAAAACAGTAGCAATGAATCGCTATGACCGATGTATTTTATTGCACCACAAGCGTATAACTTGAAACCATCTAAAAAGCATTATTTTTATTCAATGCATTTAAAACAGATACACTGTCGAGTGTACGCTGTACGTACACTTTTGCGCATCAATCACAAGTATTTGTGTGGAAAGCAGATTTCTCAATTCACTCCGAAGTATTACGTATTCAGTGCCATACAATGAAAACTTAGGTCCTTTTTTATGGACCAGATAAAATTCCTGCGGCTCATAAATTCCATTTACAATGTCTGAGATGCGAGAAAACCCGCAGCGACGGATTTGAATACGACAATCAACATGATGCACAACTTTTTTTTTCATTACATGATAATGTCTCTTTTGAAAAGGTCTAATTCTATTTTTTTGCGTTGTAGCAGAGGCGATTGAGCGTAACTTGTCAGCACAAAGTCTTAGTTCTTTCACAAAGTTCGACATTGCAAATACTGGGCCTTTTAAATTTTCAATACTTCAGGTTGTTTTATTCTTCACACATTTTCATCAGTTCTTGTGTTTTGACACACTGACAATTTACAAATAAAGAAAAATTCACTGCTGATTGAACTGAAATTCTTGGCGATATTATACTTTTGCGGATGGAGATGGAGAAACTTTTCTTTATTTCATGGAAATCGGTTTTGATAAACAAACATACATAGGGAAAAAATGTAAATAAAATATACATACATTTTTTTCGTATTGTTGTCACCCTAAAGTCATGACCATTTCATGGAGGCATATGATCACTTATTCAAAGTTGCACAAGCCGAAAATAGGACAACATACACTTGACACTGTGAATAGAGGCAAACAGTGTTTGGGCGTTTGTTTTTGAAAATCCGAATCTTGAAGTCGAGTGGAAAAGTCAGCCATTGTGCGTGATTACATTTTCATATTTATTGCATTGGATGTTTTATAAACATTTTCCATTTGAATGCGCTTTGAATATACAAAACATATGATCTAGTTTTTTTTTAAATGCAGTCAGAAGTATTCTCCTCGTTCTTTTCCTTTTAAACGTACCATTCGTACACGGAAGTGAAAAAAAATCAATTTTTCAAAGCGCAAGACGATGGGGCGAGTAATAAGAGTGGCATTTTATTGTGTTGATCCCGTTTATGAAAAATTGCTTTTGAATTATGATTAATGATAAACTGAGCGTTTTTTCCCGTGTCCATGTGTTCATTTGCTTCATATCAAACTTTTCCCCAACGTCAACACGGAAAACGCGCTAAATTCACTGCATAGTTCACGGTTCACATACTCATTGATTGATCATCATTAGTCATTATTCGAAGTCAAATATCAGCCATATTATTGAACGCATATCCTCGCCGAAAAAACCAAAATTAATGAATCGTTTCATCGAATTTATGTGAAACACCAATCAATTTTCGCGTGACATATCATTCGATTTAAGCTAGAAATATAGCGAATAAACAAAAAAGAATGTGTTCACCAAAATCTACAGTGTGACTGTTTTCGATGTGTAGAAATTACAGGGTGAAAATAGCGGCTTTTTCTAATCATTTTAGGTTTCAATATTCAATACAATTTGTCCTTATTTGTATCCCACTGAATACACTGTTTCAAGTTACTTGATTATTATTTACTGAGCACCCCCCTTGAATGTTTGATGGTAGCAGCAATGTGACACCATCCCGCTATTTCGATAACAACAACTAATGAACGTAACATTTTCTAACAAAAAAAAAAATGCAAATTGCTGAATGGGTAAACGATGAGCAGAGGAAAACCGAAAAATAAACAAAATCCTCAATAATAAATGAAAGTCCTCATAAATGTTTATTCGCTTCATTTCAGGAGAAAGTTGAAAAAAGTGGTCTCCAGCTCCACTCAACAATCCGTAGGTAATCGAGCATAGTGAGAGGACACCGGAATTTCGGCTGAATCGATCGCCTTTCGAAATGTCATTTTTAGTTTAAGGCTTGAGTGCTCAACGTGTAATACACACCTATTATATCGAGATATACGTATTTTTGATATGCGAATTGGTACGCAAAATGATAGCATTTTTGGCTTGTTGGCAATTTTATCGAATGCTCTACGTCACGTGCGGCACAGATAAACCTAATAGCCGTATAAAAAGCAGTCTCGTTATTTATTCGTGTTGCCATCGATTGTGATTAAAGTATTGGTTTTGATGGTCGGGATGGCCATATCAACCATGTATACATAAACATGTATATATACAGAATTATACATGATATGTGCTTTGCACGTTGTGTGTGTCTGTATGATGTTAATTCAGCAATCATTGCACGTTTAATAGAGTCTTTGGTTCCCATAATTTTTGTTCGGTTAAAGTGCACAGCCATAAATTCACCGGATTCGTATACTTTATGGTGCAAAACGCTAGTAAATAATCAGAATGGAATTCACTGCGAAAGATTCATAATTTGTTTCAACAATGATAATAAATAAATGACGACGACGACGGCGGCGGCGGCAAGCAAAGAACAAACTAGGACTGCGCTGCCTGCCATTTTAATATTAATGGAATTGATTTATGATGCCGAGGTTCCATTCACCAGCACTGTAAACATGTGGTTGCAAAATGTCTGTATACTTTTCGTATTCATTCACCTCGCTCTTTCGTACCGTTTACCACTTGCAGTGTGTGTATGTGCGGATGTAGCGAGAGTTAAAAAAAATCAGGATATTTCGAAACGAGCAAGATTATGAAATGGCTATTAGGCTAGTTTCAGGAAAGCCATTCTGGTTCGCACGCCCATTAAACACACAATTTCAAATGATCTGAACGTATTTTTGAGCACATAATTTACTACTAATTAAATGTGAATTTTCCATTTTTCACCCCCTTACTCTGCGATTTTAATAGCTCAGCGTTAAATTATCAAACGGAAAATGCCGTTTTTACGTTGGTTTCTTTCATCCAACGATCAGAGTTCAAAATTCACCCCAAATTTTCATGTATTTTCAAAACGAGAGCTCCATACTACAACGGCGTTCAAATATTAAGCATTCGAGCCAAACATCAAAATGTTATCGGAGTGGATGATTTTCCCGTTTTGTGTGTGGTGTCGAAAACAAGTGGCACTCAAGCGCGCATATATTTTCAACACAATAAATTTCATTCGCACAAATGCAAAAAAAACATTTGAAAGATTAATGAATAATTTTTCTGACATTAAAAAATGCTGTAATTTTGTTTTCTCAACGATAAATTTATGTCAAATGCATTCCAAAATTACTATGTCACACAGGGAATGAACGTTGTTTTTTTTTTGGTTTTTCATTTCATTTGAATGGGAAACTATGGTGACGACAAAGCTGAAAAACAAATAACTGCCATTCCACACAGACGAGAATAAAAAAAGCAACTGGCTTACCTTTGAAATGTTTTGGACAGCAAACGAATTCAACACCAGAGAATAATGAAATTCCACAGGGTAAGAGCATAGCGAAACTACGCATTTGCATTCCACGGTCTTGACATGCAGCGGCACCAGTTTGATTCCATCTAACAAATGGCCAGCATCGTGATGCATTGTGAATATGATCGAATAGGCAACCCTCTGGTACCAGCAAGGCATCAGATTGGAATGGTCCTTCTGAAAAGCAATGACAAAAAAAGAATAAATGAATGAAGAATGTTTATGGAATAGGCATTTTTATTCAATTCTAATAACGAACTTTCGAAGCCGTATCGCAATATATGAATACATACATGTATACATGATTGAATTGCTTGAGTTACTTGTTTTGTACAATGTACGTAAAAATTAAATGCAACTAATGTCGCAGAGAATGCAACGCCAATCTGCATGGCGTTGGAGTATACTGTAATTATAAATTATGATTTCAAAAATTGATTAAATGAAGCGTTTGACAAATGGAAATTGAAAAAAATTAGTTCCAATATAACAAGACACAAGGTTATTTAAAATGATAGCGCATCGTCAATTATTTGGAATTTGTATACATTTTCGATCCAAATGGTCGGAATATTGGCATTTTTTGCCATTGAATTTTTCTTATTTTAAATTGAAATTTTTCTGGATCCATGCTAGATCCTTTCGATAGTTTGAAAATATTTTTTCCTGATTCTCTACTTGCGAATGGTGAACTTAGTTTGGATAAACTGGATATTGTAGAAAATCATCAAATAAAAATAGCAAATGGATTTTTTCTTCTTTGTAAAAGCATATGGGATGGGATATTTGACCCTATTCTGAGTACGGTATTCACAACAATTGATGGTAGAGGAAAATATATTGAATGGAATCACTTACCAAGACATCGGAATGGTTTGACCCAACGCTGAGCTCCTTTGCATTTGGCCGAATTTAATGCACCTTGACGACACCATCCACCAATTTTTTGGTAGTGTGACGACTCAACTATGTTCGTTATGTCACGGCCGGGATACACCTAAAATGTAAAAAAAAACAATATGGTTTTTAATCAATCATTCGTGTATAAATGATTCTTCCTAGGGGCCTCACGCCAATTTCCATATTTAAAATATGAACAAATAATATAAATTTGTTTATGTTTCAACATATTAAACAGATATTTATGCATAATTTCGATTTTGCTCAATTTTGTTCAATAAACCGACTGTCAGCAGAACCATGTCTAATCTGTTGACGTCATTATCGCTTCAAAAATTCTGGAAGTGGGTTTTGGTGGATCCTCAGGATTGTTCAAAACCGATCCTGGTTCTGGAAGTGAATCCTCAGGATGGACCAGGGCATTGTCAAACCCAGTCTGATCCATCCTGAAGATCCACCAAAACCCACTTCCAGAACCGGGAGCAGTTTCGAACGATCCTGAGGATCCACCGAAACCCACTTCCAGAACATATTGTTCAAGGTGAATATGAACAATAACAACGCATTCGGGAAATAATACAAAATATTTGAAATCTAGCGTGAATTTTACATGATTTAAATAATACAAATAGATTTTGCTAAATAAAATTTGGCTCGAATCCCCTAGGATTCTTCTATCATATGGGCGATTAAAAGTGTATCTGTATAGTTAATTGGCTTATTTCCATTGTGTATATTCGTAGAGATACATGGTAACTAGAAAATTGCATATCTAATTTACTTTATTGGGCATCTTCAAATCGAAAATAAATTGACTGAGCTATCGTCCCCTTTTCAGAACGTCGTAGAAAGTCGAAGTTGAAATCCAATTACTTTATTTTGTGTGATTTCCTGTGTCGACACGCAAAGCAGTAGCAAATCATAGTACACATGAATCTGGTAATTGCATTAAGGGCGGATACGTTTGCATTTCCATTATGAAATAATTGCTCGATTGAGTAACAAGAAAAACTTTTATATTTTGTCGCGACACAAATAACCTCCGGCTAATAAAGTTGTTTTCCCAGACGGAAGTTAAAGTTGTTTTTGTTATTTTCTCTCTCGCTATCGCTCTCTTTCTCTCTCAACATTCATACACTGAACTGGGTATTTTTCGTTGTCAAAGGCTATGAAATATTACTTCAAAACTTGTATTTCACATAGAAAGCTTTCCAAATAATAATGTTAGTCGCAGCAAACTATAGAAAATTCAATAAATTAAGCAATGTTTTTAACACAAATTGAATTTTGTTTGTCAAAAAAAAAAATCCACAGCATGGAGATACATTTTTACATCGATTAAAATGATATCAATGATTCGTCATCATGTTTGGCTTCAGCCTTCCGTCGAATCGATCGATGGAGCCGATATGGTGATTATGACACACAGCGGCCATAAAAACTGAATTGATTGTGTAGGCTAAATTGAGCACAGCCAAGTTGGTTTTTCCAACATACAAAATGGGCTATGGCTTAACTGCTGAGTGGAGTGTTTTAGACACGCGGTTTCAAATACTCATAAATCATGCAGTTTTTTTTCTCACATCGATCGAGGGTGCGTGTCTCGTTTGAACATGGAGAAACGCATCTGACATGTAAAGTGTCACTTCCTGGTACACACAGTCCACTCATCTTTCAAAAACCGATAAATTATGCTGCAAAGGACCGGCCCATAAATTGAAATGCATAGTATTGCATTGGTGATTGTAAATGCGACTGTCTGGAATGCTAATGCTCATGTTTATTATGCGAAAAATTTGCGAGATCGTGTTTGGCTCATCAAAATGCATGTTTTTTCACCGTTCGAAATCGCACATTCGAATATAGTAAACAAGAGAATTTCCGTTTAATAGACGTTTAATGAATTTAAAATCAGGTTATGTACAAATATGGTGATTGGTCCGAAAATTCGAAATGGTAACTTGAACCAAAAACAACACTAACTAAAGTCTCAATGATAATGTATTTTTGATGTGATGCTAGTACGGATAGCTGGTCCAACGATAAATGTGTTTGAATTTTCTGCTTTCAAACCCACAAAAATACTTAGTCGCATTGCAATCGTTACAATTCAAATAGCCAAAAACACAAAAGCGTTAGTTTAATTTCCTCAGCATTCCATTCCTTTTCATCTAAATCATACCAACCACTCAATGCCACAAAATCTACATTTTCCCGTTTGAATTGTGACGAGTACTTAAAATGTCCATGGGTTCCTACATTTATAGATAGTTTAGCAATGAGCGTAGTTGATTGTTTTGTGCCAAAAACTACACTAAGCCTTTTAGATTAAGCGAAATTGTTAACTTAGTTTGAATTTCAGAATAAGCAAGCAAACACGAGCACACATTCAATTCAAATCACTCTGAATGTGGCAAAACGAATACACGACCGATACGTGGCAGAATGAGTAGATGAAAATGTCGGAATCAGAGTGACGCATATAAAATTGTTTTGATGCGATAGGGAAAAAAACAGTAGTAAATAGCTTTATTTGGAATCAAACTCGATTCCACAAAACAAGCGACTATTTTTATCATCAATTATGTTTACAAGTTTCGGATTGTTTTTTTTTTGCGTGTGTCTCCATTCGGTCCATTTTGGACACAGGCACATCGCACTTCATTTAGAAGTGTCTTTGGTGTCATTATCATTAAATCGCCGACTATTCAGAGCTGAAACTATTGCGATGTTGTTTTCATCATTTCGAAAACTGAATGCCAAATTTTCGGTATTACGTAAACAGAGAACATGTGTGACATGAATGTGATTACATAGATAACAGACACATTTATCACGTTCAAAGCGGGTAGGATTTAATTGCCAAGCGCACAAAAGTATATACATTTTCATCAAATATTCATTCAACAAATAGAACGAAATAGCGTTCACTTGGAAAATGGTGTATATTTTGTGATTCCATTTTCTCAATTCATTTTTGTTCATAACAATGTGTTTGATTCGAAGTTTTTTTTTCCAGAACAAGTGACGATGGCAACATACTTTCTTCGCAAAAATAATCTGAATCAGATGGTTTGTAAATATTGTGAGATTTGTTAACATTGGATGTATAAATACTTGGAATTTATCAAACGGCAAAATTCGTTCTCTCGAACTGTTTCAACTCTTATTTATGATTTTTCTGTTAATCTTCTTTTTCGCCAAACATACTTTATTCTTTCTATTGCTATGGTATTTCTACTATTTTGATAAATGTTCAATTTCTTAAAATTTGAACCATATTTTTTTGAAGAAAGTTGTACAAATTACCCTTAATAGCATAATTATCGAAATTCCAAAAACTTTTTTTCATAATAATTTATAAAAACAAAGTCTTCAACGGAAATTAAACCGTAAACGTTATCCTTTGTTCGCATTGGGGCTTGCAATGAATTAGAAACAACTAGCAACATGTGTTGACGCCCAAAATGTACAAATCTGCGAATGTATAAACATAGAAGTATTCCAGTCTCGTACAGATGATGGAGGAAAATGTTGTGGACCAAATGTCGAAATGGTAGAAAAAAGGGGGCGAAAAAGGAAGAAAATTAATGAGAAAAATTTCATTTTGTTCGAGGTGTTCATTTCCAAGACTGTTCGGAACCAGTATTGTGTACTGTGTTTATTCCGGGATATTTATAGCATAGCTTTACACCAAACGTACGCATCCATAAGAAGTTTATAAGTGTGTATTGTTCTTCTTACAATGTCCTTTTTTATATTTATATTACAAAATGTTGCCGTTGGCATCGTTTGCGCCAGTGTCTAGTATTGTCGCCACACAAAACCAGAAAACGGTAAAAGCAAACCAGCAAGAAAATATGTCTTCTCTCGGATTTCTGTGTACTTTTTTTCTGTCTTGTTCCCTCGTTCACATCGACGGTCGTTATTGCATTTTCGCTGGCAGTTAACAGTGCACCACCATCTCGGGATGAAATAATGAAGTTAGAGCGGAACGAAATTGAAATGAACGCCTCAGCAAAAAAAACTGCACTGTGTGAACAAAAAGCCACAAAGTTAACAACATTGTGACGATCGACAAAGGCCAAGTATATATCCTTCGGACGTCAGCCTTTTTTCCAGAACAATTGCGCTACAGTCATTTGTCTTGGGAATATTTAGCTTACAAATTCGCTAGCGAATGTGAGACAATGTTTCATTTCATGCACCAAAAAATGTCATCGGGATATTGCTCGCAGTGTCTAAGTACGTATGTGGATATTTGTTTCTTTTTCGCAGAGAATATTTATAGCGATCTGGTTTTTACAACATGTATAATTTGCTATTGGACGAGAGCTGGGAGAAACACATTCAAATAGTTTTCAATAAGCGTTTGTGGAAGAAAATTTTTCTACCCACATCTTGGGCAACATGAGTACACAAACCAATTCAATAGAAGTGGAGAGCTCATGAAATTGGTTTCTGCATTCACTTCCAATTTATATGCGGGTTTTTCCCATTCTTCATACATTCATTTGTTATGGTCTGTTAACCGTTTCGATAGATGCACTGCTCTCCAGTAAATAAACATGTGTATCAGTTGTTTGTTTAGGGTTCAAATGAAATACGGTTTTAGAATAGCTTTTAGCCCCATTTAACCGCGGTGACAGCAACATCAGAAAGGCGACTGGGTTCATTATAGCGTTCAACGTGGAAGTTCAATATTGATTGAACCATTGTATGGCAGAAATGCCTTCATCTCGTATCGATACAAACTCGTTAAACGGCCCGAATGTGTAAAATTATACCTCTTATTCGTCCAATTTGTAAGAGATGACTATGGGGCTCATTTGACGAGAAATCGTTGTAATTTATTGGAAGTTGTGCTTTTTCCAAAACAGAGCCCATCACTATGGAATACTTTCATCCCACTGTATATTTCTATGTGATGAATATTAAATTTCCCACATATTTATATATTGAAATTGTCAAACTGCGTCATTCGCATTATTAAATTAAAATAAATAGATCTAACACCGATGAGGTTGTCAAGCATTCAAGCTTAAATTCGTTTAAGTGTACCAAATGTGACAAATAAGTTGTCAAATCGAAGGAATA